CTATCTATCTATCTATCTATCTATCTATCTATCTATCTATCTATCTCCATCCATCCATCCATCCATCCATCTATCTATCTATCTGATAGATACACACACACACACACACATACATATATACAGTCTCATTGAGTCACGAGGACCCACCCCTTAGAGAGATGTGTGATGGGCAGCTATGTAAGCACCCAGGTGTGACGAAGCTAAATGTTTTTGGTGGCAGGAAGCTCGTTAGCACCCCCCCCCCCCCCAAAAAATAAATAAATAAATTTAAAAATCCATAAATTGGCCACAGCATTGTATAAGCCGCGGAGTTCAAAGCCTGCGCAAAAAGTAGTGCCTTATAGACCGGAAATTACGGTACATCCTCACTACTGAAGAGGAGATGAACCACCCATGCTGTTATCAGTTCAACAGCGTGCCTCTCTGATGATGTGGGGGTGCATTAGTACCTCTGGTATGGGAAGTCTTCACATCTGGAAAGACACCATCAATGCAAAAACTGTATAAACATGTTGTGGATCATCATGTGCTCCCATTCAGCAAAGACAGCTCAGAACTGTTGAGCAGCTAGAATTCTCCCATCAGATCAGAATGGCACCACATTCCCTCCAATAAGATAAGAACTCTTAACAATAACGTGGGCTCACATTCAGACCCCATCAAGGAAACTTTAACCCCATTTTATGCCTCAAGTTACTAAATTACAAGTTTGGAAACAAAAATAAACTCGGCCAAAGTCTAAGTTTGTTCAAATTATTGAACGTGTTTCTCAATCTGTGCTCCTGATGTACAGGGGTTTGGTATTGGTTTGTGATGAGCATTTTAGTTTTCTTGTTCGTGTTTACGTTCAAAATACATTTCGGTGAGATGATCAAATAACTTCCGTCTCGGTTGTTTGCAGATGAGCAAAGCTGGAGCTCTGCTGGGTATGTCCACCTCCTCCATCGTTCCAGTGAAGAACTACTCATCAGAACTGGACCCGGACGTGAACACAGACGTGCTGCTGCTCAGCGCTGTTGACCACATCCTGCAGTACACCAACTTGTTTTTCCAGGATAACGCACAACAAACGAGTATACAATTGCCTCGTGTGTCCGGGCTTTAGCTTTAGACTAACCGGTATAAATAAAGGTTGAGTGAATGAATTTCTCAATCATCGAGTGACTCCTGCGCATCAGAAATTTGCCTTTCCAAAAGAAAAATAAGGTTTTCATTGACACTTTCAAGGTCTTTGATATTTTAGAGATTTAAATTAAATAAAATGATTAGTTCTATTAATAAGCTTGTGGAGTTTATATATATATATATATATATATATATTTTTTTTTAATCAACCCTTTGTTTTATTCCTGGACAGTTTGTACAGTATGTGCAATGAATCAAGTCAAACTTCTGTCGTGTGATTTAGAATCAGATTAGATCCAGACGTGATTAATTACAGAATACAAACTTTTAGCGTCACCTGCTGTACATTAATTTAACGTACTTCATTGAGAATCAGCTGGCAACAAATTACTACCACGCTGCGCAACAACTTTACAGACCTGTGCATCTTTTGAAGCAGTGTCTTTTCTCCATGCTCGGATTATTACACGCCATGAGCTCTTTTTTCCTTCTTCTGTACCAGTTTCTTCAGTGACTTCTGGGTCGAAGCTCAGTGGAAGCAGCTACAGGTTGTTTTAAGTGTACGTTAACAGGACCATGCAGGAAATATTCACCTTCCCACTTTGGCTAGCACGTAACTTGATGGCTCATAAGTTTGTTTAAAAGCAAACAACCGATCAGATAAATATTCAAATTTCTTGTCTCTTGACTTTCAGCCATCTTTTAACGCAGTAAAACAAGCAGAGTGCATTATTAGAACAAACCCTCATCGTTTAAAGGCCCATCAGTCCTGTTTTACTCCTAACTGCAAATAAAGAGATGACTTTAAATGTGCATGTCACCATGCTGCATGCCAAAAGGTTTAACAGAGATCTTGTATCTGTTGGTGCTTATAGTATGTGCCAGTGATGATGCAGTGTTTATTAGGTTTTTATTATCAATGCTTACTGATTTCACATTTTGTTGCTCTAATATTTTGCACATTAAAACAAATCAAGGCAACAAAATAGATCACCTACAACAAGGGTGTCAAACCCACTTACAAAAGGTGGCTAAAATTAAAACCTTTTTCAAACTAAGGGCCGGTTTCAGAATCTACATTAACTCAAGTTCGATACCAAACAACTTTTTTGGGTTGCATGTTCCTCAACAAGAGTTTGACTGGTCTCATTTGACATTCTCTGTTGCACTTTTGACATCATAATCAAATATTACTGAAAAAAATTAAAGTGATAAAAGAATTTTACATTTAAAATAACATCTTGGTGGCCAGATAAGATGTTAAGGAGGGCCACATTTGGCCCCTGGGCCTTGAGTTGGACACAAATGCCCTACAATGCCAGCACTGACGCATTGCACGGTCTGCTTTCACTTTCATTGTGACTGCCGCCTTAAATTTCCGTTTGTGGCCTCAGAAAATACAAGAACAAAAAAAATCCCAGGGAGCGAAAGCTCATTTTTAACGTTCATTAGTACTCCTGCATTACTCTGAGCAGGTGGCCATTATCTGAGTTTTTATTTTACTCTAAAAGAAGTAGATAAGCTCAGTTTAAAAAAAACATCATTTTAAACGCTGTTGTTGCAGTTTCACTTTTTCATGATTATAAGAGTTGCAATCTTTCACTTTCATTTTGACTGACACCTTAAATTTCCATTTGTGGCCTCAAAAAAAAAAAAAAATCCCATTTGGGAGCGAAAGTTCAGTTTTATGTAACGTTGGTGTGTACCTCATTATAGTAGTGTGCAATAATGCAAAGTTTGGTATATCTATGACAGGTCCAGTATCACCTATATGGATACCGATTCGATCATTTTAAATAATTACAGTGAATTTTGATGACGTTTAAGTGTTTTGTGATTTTTCCTTCTGATCATTTATTAGTTAAAACCCAGGATAGAATTAGGCAAAGTTTATAAGTAAATAAAAAATACGTTATTATAATAAAACTTTTTTTTCTGAAAAAATAGAACCGTAACAAAACAATTTTCTCCATACCTTGTGGTGGCTGGATTTTTTTTTCCTTAAAGTGCACAAAATGATCCCTCAAGAATAAATTAAAGCATTCAGAAACTATGATAATTAAATAAAAAATATCCCTTCATTGCACTCCTTTTCTGGATTTTTTTTTTTCCTTAAATAAAAAAAACTGTAGAAAGTTATCACACCGCAACAAAAGTTATAAAACAGTAAAATATATTTAGGATATAAAGGAATAAAACACATTTTTTTCCTCTTAAGTGAATTTCTTTTTTGGGGGTTTGAAAAAATAATTACAAATCAAAAATAGTTAGTGAAAATACAATAAATAAAGTGTAAATAACAACCTCTAAAGCCTTGAGTTCAAAGAAATATTCCCAGAAGCCTCTCTGAGGGCCCTGCCTCTGTGCTGTGATGCGAGCGGCTCCCATCTTTGATGAAACAGCAGCACTGCATACTGAAGCTAAAGTGTCAATCTCATCACACTGGCACTGATCAATATCGATACCCATGTTGATATCAATATTAATCTATATTAGGATTGACCCACCCACCACTACCTCATTACTCCTGCATTACTCTGAGCAGGACTCAGCAAAAACTCTTCTGAGTTTTTATTTTACTCTAAAAGAAGTGGAGCTCAGGTTTTAAAAATCGAATCATTATTTTAAAGACTGTGGTGTCATTGTTGCAAAGTTTCACTTTTGTTTCATGATTATAAAAGCTGCAGTCTTTCACTTTTGCTGCCACATTTTACACACAGCAAGCATCAGTCAGTGACCTCTGCTCGTCTCCCTGAGCTGTTTTAAAGGAAACCGGGTAAGACTGAGATTATTGCTGCAAAACTTGTTAAATTCATGTTCATACAGATTGTGCTTTTTTCATAATTAGGATTTATTGGAGATATACAGGCTAGAGATGTACGTTAGAAATCACAATAATACATTGCAGTGTGTGTGTATGTGTGTGTTTATGTTATTCGTGAAGCCCATTTCTGAACACACTACATTGTGAGGACCAATTTCTGGTCCCCATAAGGTTCAAGTGTCTTTGATGGGTTAGTTTTAGGATTAGGTATATTCTGATAATGGTTAGGTTTAGGGTAAAGGTCGGGGTTAGGATATAGAAATGAATGAAAAATAAATGTAAGTCAATGCCAAGTCCTTGTAAAGATAGCAAGACCGTGTGTGTGTTGAACTGTCTTGGATAATGTTTATGTTTCAGTAGATTTTTTAACCCTAATTGTTAAACTGATTATCGTCTCATTCGTTAAGCAACTTTAAATCAAAATAAAGGCTTGAATAATTTTTTTTATTTTTGTCTTTCGGCCGCTCCCTTCGTCAGGGGCTCGTCACAACGAACTGTCTCGCACGAAGACTTGTCAATTATTTTTACACCAGATGTCCTTCCTGACACAACCACAGATCCGTGAGCTACCACAGCCCTGTGTGTGGAGCAGAGAGCTGCCATTTAGGGCGCCCATGGGAGCAGAGGGTGGGGGTTAAGGGCCTTGCTCAGGCACCCAGAGTGGGGCAAATGAGGGTGGAGGCAGGTGTGGGTGCTTCACCTTTCCCACCCAGATTTTGATGTTGTCGGTGCTGGGAGTTGATCCTGCGATCTTCCGATCACAAGCCCACCTTCTCTTACCTCTGCCCCACCACTTCCCTTTTTTTTTTTTGTCATATATGTAGAACTACAAAATACAAGCAAGAATTACTTCTGGTGTTTAAGTAAAACGATTCTCATTTATAAAATAGAAAGAGAACTCGATGTGCTGAACAAAACAGCTTTTAGCGTTTAGAAACCACAAAGAGAGGAAGAAAGAAAAACGTGGCATAGCCGGGCTTTTATTTTTAGCAACAACTTAGTTTCTGTTTTCTCTCCTCTCGGCTTTCTTCCCCACATTGTTAGACCCTCAGAGCCTCACATCCCCACCCTGTTCACTTCCATCCAGTGCAGTTGCTCAACCTTTTGCAGTCCAGAACCTGCCTGCTTGTTTGTCTGCAGTAAAGTTATTTCAGCTCCACTTCATAGAAGAAAAATAAACTGACAGAAAAAAAAACAACTATGACAGTAAAAAGAGTATTACACTGATATTTTCAGATATTTCTGAATCGTAAAAATTTCTTGATGTTAAAATGTTGCTGTTAACTTTAGTGCCTGTTCTGACATGTCAGAACAAGAGATTCTTCTTTTCACATTAGTTATAAAACTAAATGGCTGTTCCAAGATGGCCGCGCTCGATCGAGTCGCAGCTTCACAGGCTCCCGGTGAACTTGATCTTTTTTGTTCCTGTTGTTTTTTTGTTTTTACCTTTCTTTGCACTTACAATGCACGTCCATGGTACGGGTATGACCGCGACTCACTTGTGGAGTTTCTGTGTCGCTGCCTTGCCATCGTGTCATCGTGGTTCAGTTCTTCCAGCCTCGGGCTCAGGCCTGTCATGGCGGCTGTGCACGGACCGAACTCTACGGACCCGTTCAGTTCCGCTGGGCAACCTGGATGCTCTCTGTCTGCAGGACACGGATCTGGGAGGCAGCTGCTGCAGTCCTTATTATCATCATGCTGCTGAAGGCACCTGCTAACGCTGCTAACAACACCACAATGACAATAAAGAATCTCTGACTCTGCTTTAAATTTCAGTTTGTTTTGCCCCAAACCTTTTGCTGCACAATTATGAGGCTTGTTGAAAGTGACCACCTTGACCAAATTTCATTAAGGACACAATTGTGTAAATTTAATTTAATTAAAATATCACACAAATCATTACTGGTAAAGGATTGCAGTCAACTCCACTACTCAGAAGATCAACGGACCTTTTGTTCACAACAATCTTGGCAGAACAGACATCAGTGTTACTTTGCATACACCTTTTAACTTGATGATGTTGGATCAAATTTGCGTCATAATCAAATCAGAAAGTAGACAGGAAAAAAATAGCGTATGATTTTCATTACATTATTATTATTACATTGCATTATTCATTCACTATATTATTATTCAATTCAATTCAGTTTATATATATAGCACCAAATAACAACAAACTTGTCTCAGGACACTTTACAGGAACATTCACATAAAAGCCAATTAGTAAAGTTCTCTATTTAAGGAATCCAGCAGACAAGTTGAATCTTGTCTTCGTTGCAGTCTCCCATCCTGAGCAAGCACAGTGGCAACAGTGGAAAGGAAAAACTCCCTTTTAAAAGGAATAAACTTCCAGCAGAACCAGACTCAGGACAAGCAGCCATCTGCTTTGACCTGCTGGGTTTGAGAGGACAGAAAGGAGAGACAAATGACCACAGAATGGTAGGTCCAGGTATAAGTCCAGGTGTACCTGAAAGACAAAAAAAAAAAAAAAAAAAAACATGTTAAGGATCGAAAAAATGATTACAAATACAAAACAGGTTGAGCAGAGTAATTGTGAAGTTGACTCTATTCTGATTAATACAGTACAAACTAAAAGGCCTATGTTTGTTTTTTATCTGGACTGTTGATTTTGTCTGAACTAGTCATTACAAGCTTTTTTAACCCCCCACATTAAAAACGTTACTAGAACCACCTTCTTCCACCTGCACTATATCACTAAAATTAGAAACATCTAAAAATTATGCAGAAAAACTGGTTCATGCATTTGTTACGTCTAGACTGGACTATTGCAATGGTTTGTTAACTGGGTGTCCAAATACTTCCTTAAGACGTCTTCAGTTGATCCAAAATACTGCTGCCAGAGTCTTAACTGGAGTTAGTGGGAGAGACCATTTCTCTCCAGTTTTAGCTTCTCTCCATTGACTCCCTGTCAAATCCTGAATTTAATTCAAAATCTTGCTTCTAACCTACAAAACTTTGAACAAACTAGCTCCCTCTTATTCGAGATCTTATTGTTCCATATTTTCCTAACAGAGCACTTCGCTCTCAGACTGCAGGCTTACTTGTGATCCCTAGAGTTTCCAAAAGCAGAATGGGAGGAAGATCTTTCAGTTGTCAGGCTCCTCTCTAGTGGAATTAACTTCCAGTTTCTGCCCGTGAGGCTGACACATTGTCTAGTTTTAAGACTGGGCTTAAGACTTTCCTTTTTTTATCAATCCTATAGTTAGGGTTGGCTTGTTATGTTGCTATAGGCTTAGACTACTAGAGGACAAATTGACCTCATTTCCTTAAATTAATCGTTACAATTGAATAGTTTTCATTTGATACCATTTCTATCTTAACATGTGATTCTTGACCTGCCATTGTGTATCTGTTCCTCTCAAACCCAACTGGTCGAAGCAGATGGCCGCTTGTCCTGAGCCTGGTTCTGCTAAAGGTTTCTTCCTCATGAGGGAGTTTTTCCTTTCCACTGTCGCCTTCAGGCTTGCTCAAGTGGAGAGTTCTGCAATGAAGTTAAACTCAAAGCAGTCTGCTCCTCAGATAGTGTTAAATTATTATTTTTATATATGAACATTTCTGTGCAGTGCCCTGAGACAACTTCTGTTGTGACTTGGCGCTATAGAAATAAATGGAATTGAGTTGAGTGTCCTGCATTTTTGTATCTTTTTTTAAAGGTTTTCTCAGTGGACATCAAAGTTTTTCTCAGGTCTTTGGACTCAGACCAAATATCCAGTATGGACCCCAAACTGACCAGGAACCAGCAAAAAGAAATCTGCTCTCACCTGGGAAGTGTGAAACTCAAGCTGCTCTACAAATCCACTTTCCACGGTTTTACTGGCGCTGCTTTCCACCAGCGTTGTGACAACCTCTGTCCCACTGTGTCTGTGGGCTACAATATCTCTGGTTTTGTGTTTGGAGGCTACACCAGACAACCTTTTAGTCAGACTGGACAGTTTATGAATGATGACCAGGCCTTTCTTTTCACCTTCACTGAAGGAAAACTTGGGAAATATCCAGTTGTTAATGCTCAAAACGCCATCAAAATGATACCCAACTGTGGTCCTCATTTTGGAGCAAACCTGATTCTTCTCAATGGAAGCACACCAGTGGTTTACAGTAATCCACAAGGTGTTTACAACTTCAACGCTGCAGAAATGCATGGAAATGACCTGAACCTGATAGAGTGTGAAGTCTACCAGGTGGAGGGTAAGCACTCTGAGAATATTTTGATTTCATTATTTCAAGAAATAAAACATTTTGTGAGTAAATTAATTTTCCTCTTCAACAGAGGTCACTGTGTTTGAGAAGCCATGGCGGGAAATAGTCTGGGAAACTCAGTAAGTTAAAAACACTCATCTGCATGCAACAATATCAACATCTATTACTGCTGTACAGTTACCTTTACCCTGAAGCTCGACCAGAAAGTGCTTTATTTCCATGCAGGAAAAGGAATGATCTGATGGAGAGCATTAAAACCTACAAACCCATAGTCAGTTCTGTGTCCCAGGCTCGGGTTTTAATGATTGGACCGGTCGGAGCTGGAAAGTCCAGCTTCTTTAACTCCATCAACTCCATCTTCAAAGGCCACGTCACCAGCCAGGCCATATCTGGCAGCTCCACCACCAGCCTCACCACACAGGTCTGTTTCTGACTGCCACATCTTCAGTTTCATCATCTCGTTGTGGTCTCAGCTCACCCCCCTCTTTACAACAACAGTTTCGAACTTATTCCCTGAAAGCTGGACGTGAAGGCAAACCTCTGCCAATCATCCTGTGTGATACCATGGGACTGGAGGAAGGCAAAGGGGCGGGGCTTGACATAGACGACATCAGCAGCATCCTTCGAGGCCACCTGCCTGACCGTTACATGGTATGACATTTATCTACATGCTGGTAGGTGGAACATAAGTTTTGCCATGAAGTCAAACGGTTCTGTTCTCCTCCTCTTCAAACATCAGTTCAACCCTGCTGCTCCTCTGCAGTCAGAAGCTTGCAGCTATCAGAAGTCTCCAGGTCTCAAGGACAAGATCCACTGTGTGGTTTATATCCTTGATGCCTGCAAGGTCTCCATTATGCCCAAAATGCTGGAGGAAAAGCTGGAAGCTATCCGCAAAAAAGTCAACTTGATGGGTCAGTAAATCTGAGTCTTATTTCATTGTAAATTTAAAAAAAAGTGGAGTCCTGATAAAGTTTTTTTTACTTATTAAAGTTTTCCACATTTATCAGTAATCACAGTTTGACTGTGTGTGATTTAATCTGAGTATAAATTCAGTTGTTCTGTGAAAGCCTCAGAGGTTCGATACGGAACATTAGTGACCAAACAGCATCATGAAGACCAAGGAACATGCCAGACAGTTGTTGATAAGTTTGGAGCAGGGTTAGAATATAAAACTGTATCCCAAGCTTTAAACAACTAACAGAGCTCAGTTCAATCCTTCATGTTACAACAGGAAGAGTACGGCACAACTGCTGGACAAACCTATGGCTGTCCACCTAAACTGACAGGCCGGGCAAGAAGAACCTTAATCTGAGAAGCAGTCAAGAAACCCATGGTGCCTTTGGAGGAGCTGCAGAGATCCACATCCCAAAACATCCAGTCAGAGCTACGATGGAAGGGTTTAGATCATTGCTGTCAAATTCTGGTCCTTGAAGGCCACAGTCCTGTGTGTTTTGATGTTTCTCTGCTCCTTTACACTGGATTCAATGGTTGACTTACCCCTTCTTCAGTGTGTCTTCAAGTTCTGCAGAAGCCCATTCATAACTTCATTCAAATCAGTGGTGTTGAAGCAGAGAAACATCTCATCATCTCATATGCATGTTGGCCCTCGGGGACCAGGGCTGGACAGCACTGGGTTTGATCAAACCATTTTCATAAGTTAGAATGGTCCAGCTACAATTTTGACAAAAATCCATCTGTGATTTGAAAAATGCTGTTTGCCAAAACTCTCCATCCAGTCTGACAGAAGAATGGGCAAAAAATAGTTGACTCCTCCGTGGGGGTTGAATGCTACATTATTGGACCTGTTCATTTTATTAGTTTATTTAGAGTTGCACCGTTGAAGGAGCAACAATATTGTTTGAGCCAAATAGTTGAAGAAGGTGAACATTACCTTTCTCTGTGGATCAAAGCTAGGCATCTGGTTTATTTCTTGGTTGATTTTTAGGGATGCACGATATTATCGGCATGGTATCAGCCGATATTAGCGTTAAAGTTCAATATCGGTCATCAAAATAACTCATCAATATAAAAAGGCGCTGTATTTGTACAACAACCCAGTGACAAGGATGCCTGCAGCTGCAGCACAACGTGATGACGTCACGCACGTCTACCTGATTTGATTATGGTGGAGAGGAAAATTCAAAATGTCAGCGGTGTGGAAGGGTTTTTTTTGTTGAGGATGTAGAATTCTAAAGATTTTTGGACTACGTTGGGCCTCGCTACATTGTCCTCAGTCGGAGATATTTTTCAGACATAACCTTACAAGCCGTCATTTCCCACATCAATGAGAAGCTAATAGCCGATAGCAGAACTTAAAAAGGCTGTCCTTCATGCACAGGAGTGCAGAGGATCCCACACTGCAGCTATAGGAACCTGGAACAAGCCTCCACAAGTGAGACAGCATCGCAGGTGACTACTGCTAATAAATAACATTTAACACTTTTCATTTAATATAAGTTAAAATGCAATGATATGGCTGTTACTGAGTATATGTCACCAGCTCGTACAGCTGTTGCACATTTTTTGTAGCAAATAAGCCTAAATAAGAGCTATGTTATGACAAAGGAAAGTATATAAAATATTGGTATCGGTATCAGTTATCGGCTAAATAAGTTTTAACATATCGGCCAAAAATCCAACATCGTGCATCCCTATTGATTTTAGATACTTTGCAGACTCCAGCTATTCATTCCTCTGCTCAGTGAGCCACTGCTAGTCTTGATCAATGGAACAGATCGTGTTAGCGGTGAGTTAGGATGCAACTAACAACAGAATACTAAGAACACCCCGTATGGCCGGCTGTTGGGCCAATGACATCCATAAGTCTGTATCATTTTGAAAATGTTCTTTCTGCTCATGTTTCCAGGGATTCCTCAGCTGGTTGTGCTGACTAAGGTGGATGAAGCCTGCCCCCTGGTGAAAGAAGATCTGAGAAATATTTATCGCAGTATCTACATTAAGAAGATGGTGAGGACTGTGCTGGCAGACACTTACAGTATAGTTATTATCTGTTAGAAAATATCAACTGAATAATTTGTGCTTTGCATTCCAGATGCAGGAAGCCTGTGATTGTCTCGGCGTGCCTCTGTCCTGCGTGGTTCCAGTGAAGAACTACATCGAAGAGCTGGAGCTGGACCCGAGCTATGACATCCTGCTGCTCAGCGCTCTCATCCAGATACTTCGATTTGTTGACAGTTTCTTTGATGACATCAGTGACACTTTGAGCAACACTCAAGTGACAAAATAATCTAGTTTAGACACACTGGCATCAATGTAACATGTGATCAAAACTAATGTTGGATAGATGCACTGCGTTTGTCCTCACCCCGAGAGTAATGTTTTAAATATATATCACTGCTTCCAGTCCTCTATAAAAAGAATCAGAATCAGTTTATTATCGCCATGTCAATGAACGAGGTTCACAAACTAGGAATTTGCTTCGACATAAGGTGCGAATAGTAATAAAGTAAAATAAAGTAAAAATAAAGTAAAAATTAAGTAAAAATGAGAACATTACATAAGACATAAGACCTGTGTACACCCACAAATAAAGTAAAATTAAAAACATAACATAACCATATGTACACCCATACAATAGAAAACAATAAAAAAGCTTAGAAAACAGTACAGATGGAGTATTCAATTATAATACAGATGTAATGTGACCAAAGCAGAAGTTATGAGGTAGCATTATGAGTGTTCAGGAGTCCAACAGCAGAGGGGAAGAAACTGAAAAGAACCTAAGTTTCTGTTTATCCTGGGTTCTTTGGCCTATTTTGTTGCAACAATAATAAATCATAAAAACATATTTTAATCAGTTCTTGCAAGTTTTACCAGCTGTTTGAACACTTGCTGCTGTGTAGTGAAACTAAAATATATAACAAGGAATCTGTCTTTTTGAATTGAAACCTTCATTATAAGTTACAGAAACCAGTTAGGAATTGTTTTAGTAATATAAATACAAAATATAAAAATGTACACCCCCTCCAAAAAAAAAAAAAAAAATCATATACTGTATACTTGTTGCTAAGTTCACTTTTGTTTTACAAGTTCTAAATCTAAAAACATTTCACAGTAAAACCAGTATTTTTGTGACATGTGTTTTTTTCTAGACTTATGTTCCTGCTAACTATAGAAAAAATGTACACTTTTATTTGTTAGCCTTTTTTTTTGTTTGTTTTTGTTGCCAGTGGTACCTTTCATTTTTCTTATTGGTTTCTATGAGGGGATCGTTTAAATCGTTGTTGGCTTTTTTTTTATTATTTCACATTGGTTTACTAAAGTTCATAAATAAACTTAGTCACATATATTGTAGGTGACTGTGATATTTCAGAATGAAGGCTTTCTTACAAGGAATAAAAATCCACATGCGGAGGCTATATTATTTTTACAAATAACTGCGACCAGGTGTGCACACAAATAACAGCTGATGGTCAGAAACGAGGTTGAAATATTTCTGCAGAATTTCATTACAATCTCCTTCAGGTGTTGCTGTGATCGTTGAGGCCTGATGGTTTCTCGTGAAAAGCTTCTTAAAAGTCCCAGCTCAGAGGTTAACGAGATGAAGCCATTTTAAATTCAGTGGAAAACACATAGAAAACAAGTTGTTTTCTTAATGCTGGACGTCCTTCAGATAAATGTTCACCTGAACTGACAAACATTCTTCTTTAGTGTTTTTTCTAAGTCAACTTTTAGGGGGAACATGACATGTGATGCTGCGTTTGTCATGGATTCATGTGGAAAAAATTCACCAGAGACAAGCACAAGGATTGAGGGAAGTACAAAATGAAAAAGAGTAACTTAAGTTTTATATATATATATATATATATATACTTAAAAAGAGTAAGTACTATGACTCAAAGTACCGGTAATATGGAAGGTGTACAAAAAACCAAAACGTCCACACAACTAAACAGATCTAAATAGTTATCTTATTTAATAACAAATTATGGTCTCCAATTTATTTCTGAGACAACTATGAAGTGAGTACACGTGTTTTTTACTTGGTAATAAATGTAGTTCCTTGTAGTTTCTGGTAAAGTTTAGATGTTACAAATCTCTTAAAAATAACAAATGATAACACCTGGCGGCGTCAAGGTGGCACTGTTGGTAGAGCTGCCGCCTCTCGGAGAGAAGGTTGCTGGATCTAATCCTGGTCCGGCGGCCTTTCTGGGTGGAGTTTGCATGTTTTCCTGTGCATGTGTGGGTTTTCTTCAGGTACTCCAGTTTCCTCCCACAGACCAAAAACGTGCATGTTAGGCTGACTGGTAACTCTAAATTGTCTCTAGGTGTGTCCCTGATGGACTGGAGACCTGTCCCCCACTTCTCACACAGTAACAGCTGGATATGGGCACCGCAACCTGAAAAGGAAGAAGTTGGCAAAGATGATGGATGAATGGTTGAATGAATGGATGGATGGATGGATGACTAACACCTGGTAAATATTAAGTGAACCTTATTTACTCAAAGGAGATCAGTGAGAGGAGTTTGATTCAGATGGATTCATCAAGCATGGAATGATTTATTTGAAGACCACTGAATACCCATTAGTGGGAGTAAAGACGTGCCATTATGTGAGACATCATCAGTAAAACTAAGTGTTGGGTAAATGACCTTTAATGATATAGGATAAATACCAAAATTAAAGACTACCTGCTTGCAGAGGCTCATATGGAGAGGAGGGTTTCATTTATCTAAGCCATCATCTTTACCCACTTCTTCCTTTTCGAGTCGTGGGGGTCACTAGTGTTCATGTCCAGCTATCTCTGTGCGAGAGGCGGGGGACACTTGGACAGGTTGCAAGTCCATCACGGGGACACATAGAGACCAACAACCATTCACACATATGGACAATTTGGAGTTACCAATCAAACTAACATGCATGTTTTTAGTCTGTGGGAGGAAACCGGAGTACCTGGAGAAAACCCACGCATGCACAGAGAAAACATACAAACTTCACCCAGAAAGGCCCCCCTGGTCAGGATTTGAACCAGCAACCTTCTCGCTGAGCGGCGGCAGCTCTACCAGTTGTGCCACCATGCGGCCTAGGAGGGTTTTAGTATTGTAAAAATTCAAAACATATGGAACAAATTAAACCAAAATAACAGAAACTTTCTGCCTACAAATGAGATCTGGCATGAATTTGACTGAATATTACTTGGAGATTCCAATTTCTTCTTAGACTTGGATATACGGGAATTTAACAGAATATAATTCATAGTAGGGACACATAAAACAGGTGAGTGTAAAATACTGTGGAGAAGATGAGAATGTAGCCTGTCAGTAACTGTACACTTCATGATGTATTTACTGCCAGAAGTACGGAAATTAAAGAATTCAACTGACTGGCAGTCCAACTAAAATAAAAATTAAGGTTTTATCCAATTCAATTAAAAACAATTTAAAATGTGAATGTTCTCAGACATTAATATATTGTCTGAAACTGTCTTGTATGTTTGATAAAGGGGGCCAGGCGAGAACAGCTTGGGATACATTTTCATTGTTATGCTGATGACACACACTCATATTTGTCCATAAAAACCCAATGACTCTTAGACTACAAGCATGTCTTAAAGACATAAAAACCTGGATGACCTTTAATTTTCTCCTTTTGAACACAGACAAGACCTAGGTTTTGGTTTTTGGACCTGAGCACATTAGGAATGAAGTTTTCGGTCTTTCTCCCTCCTCAGATGGCATTAATCTGGCCTCCAGCTCTAATGTTAAAAATTGTGGTGTTATTTTTGATCAGGACATGTCTTTAACCTCCACATTAAAAATGTTACTAGAGCTGCCTTCTTCCACCTGCGTAATATCGCTAAAATTAGAATCATCTGAAAATGATGCCGAAAAATTGGTTCATGCATTTGTCACGTCTAGACTGGACTATTGCAATGGTTTGTTATCAGGGTGTCCAAAAACTTCTTTAAAAGTCTTCAGTTGATCCAAAATGCTGCTGCCAGAGTCTTAACTGGAGTTAGTGGGAGAGATCACACAGTGCCTTGCGAAAGTATTCGGCCCCCTTGAACTTTTCAACCTTTTGCCACATTTCAGGCTTCAAACATAAAGATATAACATTTAATTTTTTTGTGAAGAATCAACAACAAGTGGGACACAATCGTGAAGTGGAATGAAATTTATTGGCTGTGTCAAACTTTTTTAACAAATAACTGAAAAGTGGGGCGTGCAATATTATTGGGCCCCTTTACTTTCAGTGCAGCAAACTCACTCCAGAAGTTCAGTGAGGATCTATGAATGATCCAATGTTGTCCCAAATGACTGATGATGATAAATAGAATCCACATGTGTGTAATCAAGTCTCTGTATAAATGCACCTGCTCTGTGATAGTCTCAGGGTTCTGTTCAAAGCGCAGAGAGCATCATGAAGACCAAGGAACACACCAGGCAGGTCCGAGATACTGTTGTGGAGAAGTTTAAAGCCGGATTTGGATACAAAAAGATTTCCCAAGCTTTAAACATCCCAAGGAGCACTGTGCAAGCAATCATATTGAAATGGAAGGAGTATCAGACCACTGCAAATCTACCAAGACCCGGCCGTCCCTCTAAACTTTCATCTGGAACAAGGAGAAGACTGATCAGAGATGCAGCCAAGAGATCCAAGATCACTCTGGATGAACTGCAGAGATCTACAGCTGAGGTGGGAGAGTCTGTCCATAGGACAACAATCAGTCGTACACTGCACAAATCTGGCCTTTATGGAAGAGTGGCAAGAAGAAAGACATTTCTCAAAGATATCCATAAAAAGTGTTGTTTAAAGTTTGTCACAAGCACCTGGGAGACACACCAAACATGTGGAAGAAGGTGCTCTGGTCACATGAAACCAAAATCCAACTGTTTGGCCACAATGTAAAATGAAATGTTTGGCATAAAAACAACACAGCTCATCACCCTGAACACACCATCCCCACTGTCAAACATGGTGGTGGCAGCATCATGGTTTGGGCCTGCTTTTCATCAGCAGGGCCAGGAAAGATGGTCAGAATTGATGGGAAGATGGATGGGGCCAAATACAGGACCATTCTGGAAGAAAACCCGTTTGAGTCTGCAAGAGACCTGAGACTGGGACGGAGATTTATCTTCCAACAAGACAATGATCCAAAACATAAAGACAAATCTACAATGGAATGGTTCACAAATAAACGTATCCAGGTGTTGGAATGGCCAAGTCAAAGTCCAGACCTGAATCCAATCGAGAATCTGTGGAAAGAGCTGAAGACTGCTGTTCAC